TATATATATATATATATATATATATATATATATATATATATATATTTATACATATATATTTAGGCAGCGTATTGTCATTCAATCATGTTTCGTTAAATAATATAGACGTATTATGGCTATTTATTTTATTTTTAATCTTATCAAGTCAACTAATTAATTTCTTTGTGGCTAGAAAATATATATGTGCATATGTGTATATATATGTGTATATATATATATATATATATATATATATATATATATATATATATATATATATATATATATGTGTGTGTGTGTGGAGAGAGAGATACATTACTGGCATAGCGCAGTACTAGATTGGTGACAAGGTCTCATAATTTTACAGTTCTATGCTAACTGTTTCTTTAGTTCTATGCTAACTTCTTTTTTCTCTCACGCTTTTCGCTTGTGGACCTCTTTTCTGGCTTCTTGCTTCCTTGTCAACTTTGATCTTCAAAAATTTAAATACAATGTCAATCATTATTTTTGTCTTCTTAATTGTTGTTCTTCTATTGTCTTCTGTCCTTAATAGTCTATTTTTCTCGTAATCATTAACACCCACTAGCCTCATGCGTCATAGAGTCTTTAATGTCTTGCTCGGGGTGAAATTATTAAAAATTTAAACAAAGAGAGAAATAGAAACAGTGAGAAGGTAATTGAAACTTACAAAATATTTAATAGACTTCCGAGACATCCAAATATTTACTTTAATTTTACTTTACACGTGTAAAAAAATGCATATTTTCAAATATACTATGCAGATTAAAAAAATAAACAAAAGTAATGGTTGAGAAAATGATTCGGCTTTTTTTGGATTTCAGATTTTAATACTTAATTGAATAACTGTATTGAATAACTGTATTGAATAACTGTATTGAATAACTGTATTGAATAACTGTATTGAATAACTGTATTTTGCTATTGTTTCTCGTAACGGCCTAATCTACTTTGTAAAAGGATCTTTAAATCATTTCTATTTTTGCTACTCCCTCAGATATTTCATAACTCTAGGATTCCTCACACCGTTCAAGTTTCGCCCTTAATTTTCAGTTGGATTCAAGACTGAAGTTCGATACGGTCACTATATACATTTGCAATAAAACAAGTTAGTGAAAGACGGTCTTGATTATATCAGAATGTTGTAAAATATTGTTGGGAATTTAATCAAATTCCTATGCAAATGCAGATAGATCTAGATTTGGTTTTGTTCTTAAACAACATTTTTATGATGAATTATTAATCGTTTTTCGTATGCTTTTACATCGGCACTTTGTGCAGATGTTATTTTTTATTAGTAATTTTAATTTTTATACTGAAATATATCACCTATATAAATTTACAGTAAACGGAATATGTTTTTCTATTTTTTTTTAATTTACTTAATGAAAAAATAAATATATATACATTTTAATAAGTAGAAAAACTCAGATTATATATCTTTCTCTCTCTCTCTCTCTCTCTCTCTCTATATATATATATATATATATATATATATATATATATATATATATATATATATATGAAAGAATAATAGATAAGGGAATGACAAAATAGAAAAAATGTTAGTGACGCGTTTCGTTCTAAAAGAAATTTCCTCAGACATAAGTTTTTATTGTTTTATTGATGGAATAAAGAAGGCGTAGGGTCAGAAAGTACACTAAGCACCGATTACAGTCAACATGGAAATGTTTTAGATACAGGGATGTTTAGCCTTTAAATATCATTTTTGGTATCCGGTCGACCTACATGTTTCACTTTCAGTTAATTCTCACTTTTGGTTTTATAGGAAAGGAAACATATATGATTCTGGGCGTAAATTTACCGCAGAGGTTTCTGAAAACAGTGCACTTTCAATACAGTCAGTCAGTTATGTGCCATGCGTGATACACGCTTAGGCGATCATGTATCTTTCGATACATTGACTGATGCGTAGGTTACCATTTCTTTCTGCGGTCGAAGGCTATATAACCCAGTCTGTCCTGCTATTTATCCATATCCGAAGGGAGAAGAAGAGGATTTATACGTGAATGTAATGGATTCGACTGGAATTCGACTATCCATTACACCACCGTGCCTCCAACTTAATAACGTATTTTCTCTTACATTCTTTATGTCGAAATTATTGTCAGTCCTATTATTACAATATATGAGTATATTGAGTTAACGCCCCATTTAGGAATTTCTTGGGATAATTTTATCAGTGTATTTGTAACGTACACAGACACACGCACACACACACATGTATAATATATACATACAATTCTTATATATACACCTTTTACTCGTCTTTTTTATTTGCCAACTTAGGTAAGCATTCCTTTATTGAAAATACTGTAAAAAGCAGAATTTCCTCGCATAAGAATAATTTCGGACGGAACTAAATATATACATATGTGTGAGTGTGCATGCATGTGTGCGTGTGTGTGTGTGTGCATGCATGTGTGCGTGTGCGCGTGTGTGTGATTAAGCCTCCCACTGTATTTTTGCAACCGCCTATTTAGTTGGATACATTTACCCGTAGAGCAATAGGCGGCAGAGATTTATATTGATTGGTTACCTTTTCCCTTTTGACCATCGATCATGATGTTACATACTGTACACTTGATAAGCTAATATTTTCGTCAGGCCAATCACTTTGTCTTCTGATGTCACCGTGTTGACCCGACGACATCCCAGACATTGTCCCTATGCTGCCCGCTTGCAATTGTTTTGATGTCTTTTTCCCCACCCATCTTCTTTTTTTTTTTTTGTAATTTTCTTCTCCTTGTCCATTTTCGCTACCTTCTTTACAGGTCTTCCTTCCGTTTTCAGCACGTTTATTTCAATAGATTCTATTAATTTCTATGCGATCTTTCTTCTATTCGGTCAGTTCTCCGGCGTACAATTCAGCATGAACCATCGCTCCTGTCACAGGGATTTTTCATAAATGCCCTTCATTCAATTTCTTTTTATTTTTCGCGCCATTTCACTATCTCCGTTAAAGTCTTTGCTACGTGCCATCTAATCTCTCCTTTTCGTTTTCAGTTTGTTCTTTGATCTGTTTTCTATTTTTACTTTTTCTTCTTTTTCTCTATCAACCACGCCAACTTTCCTTCTATCGATAATGATGGCTTCTTGTGTCTCCAGTCTATATGTTTAACTAAATAAAAAACACAATTTGGAATGTTGATTTTCACGCCAGGTTGGACATTCTCACGTGAAAGATTGACGTCACACAATTTTCTTACTGTAAAGTGTCAGTACATTCGTGCAATTATAAAAACTGTGAAACTCAACTGGAAAAATATCATAAAAATCATATCCAAATGTTATTTTCTTTTTTTCTTTTTTTTTTTAATCCTTTTCTTTCTTTGGATTCTTTTCTTTTCTCTATTTACTCTCATCTCTTTACTATTCTTGTTTCTGAATTTCTTTCTCTTTTCTTTTTCCCCCTTTTTATGGTTTTCTTTTTTCTTTCTTCATCCCCACAGTATATTATTCTTTTTCTATTTTCTATTTGCTTCATTTTCACTTATTTTTCGCTATTTTCTGTTAATAAAAGAATGGAAGAAAGAAAGAAACTTTTTGTATTTTTTACAGTTTTTATTATTTGCATTCAGTTATTTTTCTTTTTTTCGTGTTACAGTTTTTATTTATTTTTTATTTTGGTTGATTTGTTTTCCCTTCCTTTTCTAATTTCTTAATTTCCTCTAACTCTTTTTTCCTCTTATGTCTATCTTTTTCACGTCCATATTTTTCAGGCTTTCACTCCCATTCTCTCTCTCGCACTTCATTAGAAAACTGTTGTTTTTACTCTCCCTTCTTTGAATCTGTCTTTCTTCCATGTTTTTATCTTCCTCCCTATTCAATACGTTTTCAGTCCCTCACCCTCTACCTCTTGTCAAATTTCGTTGTAAACCATTGAAAACATTTGTGAATTTCTTATATTCAACAATTTTCATTTCATGGGTCCATCAGCGTGCGGTAATTGCTACTGTTCATGATCTTTAATAGTGAATTTGCTCTTCACTGGGTGCCCAGCACTTGTGTCCTGGCATCAAATTAAGCTTAGTTAATAATAACAGTTTTCTCTCCATCTATTTCACTTTTACTCATCTTTCTAATATTTCGAACATTTTATCTCACTATTGCTTTAAAAATCATTCCATTATTATTATTATTATTATTATTATTATTATTATTATTATTATTCACGGTTTCTTTCATCTCTTTTCTCTCTCTCTTCTCTCTCTCCCTCTCTTTCGTACATTTCCGCTTTTTTCTTTCTGTTGTTTTTTCTATTTTCCTTATCCTTTTCATCTTTGTCCTACTCTTTCTTCTTCTTTACACTTTCTCTTCCTTTCTTTCTAGAATAGAATACCCATTCCCCTCCTTTGTTTTCATATCATCATTTTATCTTTCTTTCACGTTCCATTTCTATCTTTTTTTCTGTTTACACATTTTCTTATTCCTAACTTAATGTTTTCACCTTTCTTTATCGAACGCTTTTATTTCCCCACCTCTTTTTTTTCCTCCTCTTTCAAATTTCTGTCTGTCAATTCTTCCATTCTCATACTCCGTCAATATCGTACAAAATTCTCTTTTTTTCTATTTTTCTCCATTCTCTTCCTCTTTCCCTACTTGTCCCCCATCTCTCTCCGCATCTTTCTGCTTCCCGCCACGACTGACGGACAAATCGCCCCGTGTACAATTTTGAAATGACCACCATATTCATTTCTGAACAACTGTTATTACTAATCTCTGTCCGACTCTCCACTTTATCTTTAGCCTGGCATCTTCTATAAGCCGTGTTTTTGCCCTGGATTTTGTTAATAATTTAGACTGTTCGCCAGTTGTTCTCAGTGGGCCAGGCGCAAGAGAGCAGGCGGCCGCGGCGAGGAGTAACCATTAAATCACTCCGGCCAGACACGCGGCTACGCCAAGCTGTCAAAAACGTGATGGGCCCCAAAGCTAGCATTGGCACCGTGCGACCGGCACGCCATCCTGCTCTGACAAGATGAACGACGATCAGTGAGGCGATAGGTCAAACAGGACGGTACTGGCCAAATTATTCATTTATAGACTTTATGGACGCATATGTAATGACCAAGAACTTTTGTGTCAAAAATAATGTTCATTTTCAATATTGCAATAGGCGAAAAGGAGAAAAAATAAAGAGAATAATAATAATAATAATAATAATAATAATAATAATAATAATAATAATGGTGTTAAACGAGAAAATCGGTACGGAAAAAAGAATAAGAGAAAGAATGAGAAAAGAAAAGCGAGTAGGAAAAGGAACAAAGAAAAAAAGAACTATGAAAGATAAACGAAAGAAAGATCTATTTAGAAAATGTTAAAAGAAAAAGACTAAAAGTCTGAAAAAAAAACGTAAAAATAGGCAAAAAAGAAACAAAACAAAAGCAAAAAAAAAAAAATCAGCATAAAGTGCGAATTGGTCGCTAATGTCGTCTTTTTTGGAAAAGGCGACCGATCTTTATCTTCTCGCCATAAAATCTACTTTCTTTCTTTCCTTCTCTACCAATGACAAAGAGGGTTAAGACAAAATTTATCGATACATCTGTATTAGCTGAGGTAACGCTTAAGAAAAGATAAGTCAAAACATTAATAGAATAAATAATAACGCATTTAGAACCATGTGTTTCATACATCTCAAGTTTTCTTTTTGTGACGTAGTTAATCTGAAAAAAAAAAGGCTTATAATAAGGCTTTCAAATGATTTTTAATCTTCTTACTTGTAAAATCAACAATAACTATCGAAAAATTGATATCTATTCAAGAGCAAAAAAGACTTCTTTTCGGGTGGAAAAAAGTAAGCCTTTTCATTTTATGTTTTGCAATTTCTGTCTACACAATAGAAATAAAAACTCAAAACATATGATGGATGTATAAACAGACAAGATAAAGGAAATTTTTTTAAAAGGTATGCCAGAACGATTTGCTATTTAGCAGTTATCTGATATGCATATAAATCGATTTAGAACTAATTGAAAAGCTATTTGATGAAGATTTTCCAATTGTTGAATAATAAAAATACACACATTACGTCGGCGAAACATCGCTTTTAAGCTTTTGCCATTTTATCTCTCACACACACACACACACACGCGCGCGCGCGTGTGTGTGTGTGTATTGTTCATTAAGATTTCTCGAGTGCGCAGTACATGATAGACGTAATACCCACTGATTAAGATAAAACCAGACGTCTATTTCAAACACTGGTATCCACTAAAAATATCGTTTGAAGTACTAAAAATGTCAGATTAAAAATAATCACTTTCAATCCTTTAGAAGTTGTTTTGTTTATATTTCATATATGAAATATGCCCTTCCGAGAAAAATCTTAAAAGGGAAATAAAACCATGCTGGGTTGCGACGTTCTCTGTGACCGAGTGGTTTAAAGCACGCCGGATCAAAAGGTGGTTTCTCCTACAAAGGGGCACGCAGGTTTGAACTCTGTACAATAGAGCACACTTTCACAAAACTTTCTCATGTGCGCAGGCCGATAGACGTAATAAATACTGTTTAAAATAAAACAAAAAATGGAGCATCTATTTCAAACATGGGTATCCGCTAAAATAATGTTTGAAGTAAAAAAAAAAAAAAAAAATATATGGCCGATAGGTTAGAACGTTCGCTTTTTGACCATGAGACAGTGGTTCGAATCTCACCATGGTCGATTTGTCAGAAAAGTAAATTCTTTATGTTATCCATCTGAGGCGATCCCAGCCGGTGACAGCACTGGAAAGTGCCTGAAATCCATACAACGAATTGGCACAAGCCTTGTAGGTGAAACTGGGTAGACGGAACTCTTTAGGAAGTCGTCGATGGTTGTTCTAGGACGAAATCAGAAGTCATCGTGACAGAGGTTTTGGGCAGATGACACACTATCTTATCCATCTGAGGAGATCCCAGCCAGTGACAACTTTGGAAAGTGCCTGAAATCCATACAACGAATTGGCCCAAGACATGTATGCGAAACTGGTAGACGGAACTCTTTAGAACGTCGCTGATGCCAACTCTAGCACGCAATCAGAAACCATCGGAACCGAGGATTAGAGCAGATGACACACTATGTTATCTGGCTGAGGCGATACCAGCCTGTGAGAGCGTTGGAAAGTGCTTCAAATCCATACAACGAATTGGCCCAAGCCTTGTAAGCGAAAGTGGGTAGACGGAACTCTTTAGAAAGTCGTCGATCGTTGTTCTAGCACTAAATCAGAAAGCATCGAGACCGACGTTTTCAGCGGTTGGCACACTCTCTTATCAGCCTGCGGCGATCCCAGTTTTTGACAGCTTTAGAAAGTGACTGAAATCCATACAACAAATTGGCCTAAACATTGTAAGCGAATTATGTAGACGGATCTCTTTAGAAAGTCGTCGATGGTTGTTCTAGCACGAAATCAGAAGTCATTTGCAACCGACGTTCTGAGGAGATGACACACTATCTTATCCGTCTGAGGCGATCCCAACCTTTAACAGGTTTAGAAAGGTGCCTGAAATCCATACAACGAATTGGCCCAAGCCTTGTAAGCGAAAACGGGTAGACGGAACTCTTTAGAATGTTGTCGATGGTTATTCTAGCATGAAATCAGAAGTCATCGTGACCGATGTTTGAGCAAATTACACACTATCTTGTCCGTCTGTGGCGATCCCAGGCTGTGTCAACTTTGAAAAGTGCCTGAAATGCATGCAACAAATATACCCATGCCTTGTGTGTGAAACTGCTTAAACGGAACGCTTTAGAAAGTCGTCGATGGATGTTTTAGCACGAAATCAGAAGTCATCTTGTCCGTGGTTTCGAGCAGATGACACACTCGCCTTTCTCTCTGATGCGATCCCAGACTGTGACAGATTTGCAAAGTGCCAGAAATCCATACGAGGAATTGGCACAAGCCTTGTCTGCGAAACTGGGTAGACGGAACTCTTTAATACGCAATGTCTCATCCGGGTGATGCGATTCCAGCCTTTGACAGATTTGGAAACTGCCTGAAATTCATACAACAAATTAGCCCAAGCCTTGTAAGCGAAATTGGGCAGATGGAACTCTTTAGAACGTCCTCGATGGTTGCTCTAGCACGAAATAAGAAGTCATTTGTAACCGAGGTTCTGAGGAGATGACACACAATCTTATCAGTCTGAGGCAATGCCAACCTTTAACAGGTTTAGAAAGGTGCCTGAAATCCATACAACGAATTGGCCCAAGCCTTGTAAGCGAAATTGGGCAGATGGAACTCTTTAGAACGTCCTCGATGGTTGCTGTAGCACGAAATCAGAAGTCATTTGTAACCGAGGTTCTGAGGAGATGACACACCATCTAATCCGTCTGAGGCGATCCCAACCTTTAACAGGTTTAGAAAGGTGCCTGAAATCCATACAACGAATTGGCCCAAGCCTTGTAAGCGAAATTGGGCAGATGGAACTCTTTAGAACGTCCTCGATGGTTGCTCTAGCACGAAATCAGAAGTCATTTGTAACCGAGGTTCTGAGTAGATGACACACTATCTTATCCGTCTGAGGCGATCCTAACCTTTAACAGGTTTAGAAAGGTGCCTGTAATCCATACAACGAATTGGCCCAAGCCTTGTCAGCGAAACTGGGCAGATGGAACTCTTTAGAACGTCCTCGATGGTTGCTCTATCACGAAATCAGAAGTCATTTGTAACCGAGGTTCTGAGTAGATGACACACTATCTTATCCGTCTGAGGCGATCCCAACCTTTAACATGTTTAGAAAGGTGCCTGAAATCCATACAACGAATTGGCCCGAGCCTTGTAAGCGAAACTGGGCAGATGGAACTCTTTAGAACGTCCTCGATGGTTGCTCTATCACGAAATCAGAAGTCATTTGTAACCGAGGTTCTGAGGAGATGACATATTATCCTATCCGTCTGAGGCCATTCCAACCTTTAACAGGTTTAGAAAGGTGCCTGAAATCCATACAACGAATTGGCCAGAGCCTTGTAAGCGAAATTGGGCAGGTGAAACTCTTTAGAACGTCCTCGATGGTTGCTCTAGCACGAAATCAGAAGTCATTTGTAACCGATGTTCTGAGGAGATGACACACTATCTTATCCGTCTGAGGCGATCCCAGCCTTTAACAGGTTTAGAAAGGTGCCTGAAATCCATAAAAACGAATTGGCCCAAGCCTTGTAAGCGAAATTGGGCAGATGGAACTCTTTAGAACGTCCTCGATGGTTGCTCTAGCACGAAATCAGAAGTCATTTGTAACCGAGGTTCTGAGGAGATGACACACTATCTTATCCGTCTGAGGCGATCCCAGCCTTTAACAGGTTTAGAAAGGTGCCTGAAATCCATAAAAACGAATTGCCCCAAGCCTTGTAAGCGAAATTGGGCAGATGGAACTCTTTAGAACGTCCTCGATGGTTGCTCTAGCACGAAATCAGAAGTCATTTGTAACCGAGGTTCTGAGGAGATGACATACAATCTTATCCGTCTGAGGCGATCCCAGCCTTTAACAGGTTTAGAAAGGTGCCAGAAATCCATAAAAACGAATTGGCCCAAGCCTTGTAAGCGAAATTGGGCAGATGGAACTCTTTAGAACGTCCTCGATGGTTGCTCTAGCACGAAATCAGAAGTCATTTGTAACCGAGGTTCTAAGGAGATGACACACTATCTTATCCGTCTGAGGCGATCCCAACCTTTAACAGGTTTAGAAAGGTGCCTAAAATCCATACAACTAATTGGCCCAAGCCTTGTAAGCGAAACTGGGCAGATGGAACTCTTTAGAACGTGCTCGATGGTTGCTCTAGCATGAAATCAGAAGTCATTTGTAACGGAGGTTCTGAGGAGATGACACACTATCTTATCCGTCTGAGGCGATCCCAACCTTTAACAGGTTTAGAAAGGTGCCTGAAATCCATACGAATTGGCCCAAGCCTTGTAAGCGAAATTGAGCAGATGGAACTCTTTAGAACGTCCTCGATGGTTGCTCTAGCACGAAATCAGAAGTCATTTGTAACCGAGGTTCTGAGGAG